GCTTCTTAAACTTTAAGGTGCCAAGGAATCGGCTGGGGATCTGGTTAAAGTGCAGATTCATGTTCAGTGGGTGTGGGGTAGGCCTGGGGCTCTGCATTTTTAATACACTTCCTAGCAGCACTGACGCTGCTATTCCATCGGTCACACCTGGAGCAACAAGGGGTCAGAACACTGAGTGAGGTCTTTGCTAAGAATCGCTACCATCACCATGACCATGACCACAACCACGACCATGTCCATGACCACAGCCATGACCGTGACCATGACCATGACCACGGCCGTCTTCTCTTTTCCTTCTGTCTCCTTTCCCTTCCTCTGTTCTTCCCTGTAGACCGCTACCACCTCCACTCATTACGCAGCTGCCATGTGCTAGGCACTAGGCTCAGGTTTCATATGTCTGATCTCTAATCTTGCTGACAGCTCTGCAAGGTAACACATCTTCTGAGCCCAAGAAGAATTCAGATTCATCTGAGGACATCCGACGAAGCCTGGGAGTTTATGAGTCCCTGGGCATCTATTTGCATAGCTGATTTGCATGAAGGCTTTGAGCTTTTGGGTTTTTGTGCTTTGGACTCAGGGAAAAAGGAAACTGTATGCTCAAGAGGGGCTGGACAGAGGGGCTGGAGGAAGACAAAGACATTGTGGTGTCTGGTCCTTGACCCAACCCAAGGCTCTCGGTCTGACCTCTTGGGACCTCAGGTATTCTCCCGGGTTGGTGCTGATCATGATTTAGCTTCAGTGCCTTAAAGCCCAGAGAAAACCTGCTGCTCTCCCAGCTCCTGGAGGATTTGGGTGGCTTTGTTTGTTTAGCTCAGGAAACCAGAGAGAGACAGCTGAGGCAGACATCTTTTGGGATCGTTGCCCAGCCTATACTGCACAGCCATCTGTGAAGAGTGTCCCTGCCCCAGCAGTAGGCTTCTGGAGCCATGCTTGTTTCTGTGATTCTGCTTCTTTTTGGCTGCAGTTGATTGGCCAAGATTGGTCACTTAGCCCACGGGCAGCAAGATCAATGGCTTGGCTGAGTCAGTCAGTGTCTCCTGAGAAAATGGAAGGAAGACACAGAGTTTCTTGTTAGTCAGAGTAAAGCCCACAGGTTATGTGGGGGCTGGGCAGCCATCTTTGGCCCATGGGCACAGAAACATAAAAGTTGAACCTCCAGAAGGAGAAGGTTCACAGAGAGAAGCAGATGTGAGACACTTAGTGGCCATGGAGAGGAGTCAGTAGTTGCCTTGCTTTCCAATCCCTGTCCAGCTGTACCACAGGGCCCCGGTGTCTCACCTCTCTGTAGCTCCACACTGCTTGTGGCAGACAAACTCTGGTGTCTGCCTCCCCGCCAAGATCTGCACTTCTTGGTGCTCAGGCTTTTGTATAATCCTTGCCCCCTTTCATACGGGTGGGAAGTGTGACTTTCCTCCAACCTATGGAATTTGTCAAGAGGGATGGGCTGTCACTTTCATGATCATGTTCTGTTACATAGGACTCCATTGTATATAATGCCACTGGCAAGGAGAGTTGAGGGCAGCCTCTGAGAGCAGCAAAAAAGTAGGAGCCCTGAGTCCTGCGGACGCAAGGAGGTGAATTCTGCCAACAACCCACGTGAGCCTGTGAATAGATTCTTCCCCAGGGAAGTACCCTCCCAGGTGAGAAGCCAACCTGGACAGGACATCGGTGGTAGCTTTGTGAAACCCTAAGAGGAGGCCCCAAGTAAGCCATGCCTGGACTCCTCACCACAGGAGCTGTGAGATGATGAATGTGTGTCATCTAAAGCCGGCATGTCTGTGGTAATTTACTACACAACGGAAAACTAATATACTGCTGCTCCTCATCAGTTTCTTTGGCATAGGTACGTTTCTGTGACTTGCATCCTGTAGACTCTTGGCTGAGACAAGCACACAGAGCCTGGTCCAGCATTCTCCCGGAGGAGCTGCCCGGCCAGAAGGGCACTGAAGGCGGCTTGAGCCAGCACAGCTGCCACCTGTGGTGGAAGGCTGATGGAGAGGAACAGCAGCTGGTGAGCCTGGACTCCTTGGAACTCATTGGGGACTCCCAGAAATATTTGGGGTAAGGAAGGAAGCAGACTGGTGTGGACAGGTGAGGCCTACTAAGCCAATAGAATGGGGGCATGTGATTTCATTTGTACTTATTACCCTGTATGGAGTTCACTGTAAATTTGTGTCTTGCATCAAATTTAGGACATTCGGGGCCATTATTTCTTCAAATATCTTTTCTGCCCTTTCAGTCTCTTCTCTACTTCTGAGACTCCAATTGAATGTATACTAGAAATTTCTGTTGTCCCACATGTCCCCGCTTGTCTTTTCTCTTGATGTTTTTTCCTCTTTTCTTCAGATTAGATTACTTCTATTGATCTATCTTCAAGTTTACTGACTTTTTTCTTCTGTTATCTCAATTCCTCTGTTAAGCCCATCCAGTGAATTTTTGTTTCAGATATTTTATTTTTCAGTTCTACATTTTCTGTTTGAGTCTTTCTTATAGTTTTCTATTTCTCTGCTGAGATTTCTAATTTTTCATTTGTTATGAGCATTTTTTAAAACATCATTGTGTGTGGATATTGTGATGATTAATGTTATGTGTCAATCTGACTGGGCTAAGGGATGCCTAGATATCTGGTAACACATTATTTCTGGGCATGTCTGTGAGGGTGTTTCTGAAAGAGATTAGCATTTGAATCAGGAGACTGAGTAAAGAAGATCAGCCTCATCAATGTGGGTGGGCATTATCAAATCTGGCAAGGTCCCAATAGAACAAAAAGTCATCATAAAACTTTCAGAAGGAAAGGAGAATGTTTTGTGGACCTTTATTTTTGCGTGTGGCAGTTTTAAGTTATTAGTTTTTGAAATCAATGCTTTTTAATGGAAATAACTTGACCAAAAATCTGTCACAGAATTTTGAGACCCACTAAAACAAAGTTTGATGAGAGAAAAAGAAACGAAGGGTGAATTTGTGCTCTTGAAGTTGGGATATCCATCTTCTCTTGTCCTCAGACATTGATGCTGTTGGGTCTTGGCCCTTCAGACTGAGTTACAAATCAGCTTTCCTAGTTCTCCACCTTACAGACAGCAGCTCATGGGACTTCTCAGCCATCATTATCACACAATACAATCACTACAATAAATATCTATCGACTGAACGATAGAGCTATCTCTCTATTAATCCGCCCACACATACCTATACATACTCTATTGGTTCTGTTTCTCTGGAGAATTCTGCCCAATACAGTTATAGTAACTGTCTTAACATCCTTGTTAGCTAATTCCAACATCTGGATGGTGTCAGTCAGTTTCTATTATTGAGAATGCATCCATTTAAAAAAAATGTTTGTACACGGAGTAATTTTGGATAGCATCTTAAGCATTATAAATGTTTTATTGTGGAGACTCTGGATTCCTCTAGCGAGTCCTGAATTTTTGGTTTCAGCAGGCAATTGGTCGGACTCAAAATGCACACCCTGTCGCTCATGGACCTTGTTAAAATGTGGCAGCTCAAATATCAGTTCAGTTCTTTTATCCTTAGCTGAGCTACTTTGAGCCTGCCTTCATATATGTGACTTAGAGGCCAGAAAGACATCTGGGCAAAGTTTATGCACAACATTTGAGCTCCTTTTCTCTTGTTTTCTTCTTTCATGGATTCTCCTTTTCACTTTTCAGGGGTTGTGGTTGCCCCAAACTCTCTGACTCTTCAAGTCAGAAGGAGTCCAGTGTGTTTCTATCAGCCTGCATGATATTACTCACCGAAGACTATCTTCAGGCTAAAACAGTTTTTTTAAAAAAGTGATGATGAGAGATCCCATCCACTACCATTTCCTTCTTTCAATGATTAAACCTCTCTAAAATTTCTCTGCTTTCGGTTGCTTCCCAATGACATCACCTAGTTGATTTTTATATTTAGTTTAGAGTTTATAATTGCTATCTGCAGGAATGACAGTATGATGGGGGTTTAGCCAGTCTCAGGAGGAGCATCTGTGATTACATGTGTGCTTACTGAATGCTGAACCTGAGGACATATGGGATATAAAAATATTACTGAGTCCTTTTTACAGATGAGAAAACTGAGCTCTCATAGGTTCATCTGGCTTAAAACACCCCTACGCCTTTCTATCCAAGTCCACTTGAGTGAGGCAGAAATAAGATATTGTCTACTCTGTTCAGACTGGGGAGCAAATGACAAGGAAAGAAGGAAGGGAGGTGAGTTGTCAAATGTGCAAGGCTAAAGTACCAGGCCTTTGAGTCAAGGAGTTAATATCATGCTCTAAAGCCCTGTGCATGATGTGTTCAAGGGTGTCTCAAGATTTCTTGGTTTCTTTCTTTTTTTGATTCCTTGTAACAATTCCTTGCTTCCCAGCTGTGCTAAGAGGATATTTGTCTGGTGAAAAGCAGAACTTTAGCAGAGCCTCATGACTATCCCTGATAGAATCAGAGACCAAGAAAAGTCAAAAGACCTCTGAGATGATCTCTCCCAGCCCCTTCATTTTAAACCGAGCCCCACAAAACCGAGCCCCAGAAAAGTGAAATGATTTGTCCAATATGGCCTAGCTATTTAGCGGCCGAGCTACTTGCAGTGTTCAAATTTTCTAAACTTCCCATCCAATGTTTCTTCTGCCAAACAAGCATAATTCTTTTACACACATGTGGAGTTCTCTCTCTATATATATCTGTCTCTGTCTGTCTGTCTCTCTCTCTCTCTCCCTCTCCCTCTCCATCTCTATCTTTCTCTGCTTGCCCATACACTATCACCAAATGTCAACACTCATGACTCCATTGGCCTCTGATGGCATGGAGGGGAGGGCACCTATTCAGTGGAGTTGTAGTTCTCAATCATTTTTAAAATTCCACAATACTTGCAAAACATGACACATACACACACATACCCAAGAAAACCACAGTTAACACCATCTCATCCAAGACCTGATGTTGATAGATTCCAGATGTGGTATGTACTTCTATGGCCCATACCCCTCCCCCACAACCCCCTACAGCACCCACCATAGATGCGAAAGGCATACTCGATCTTCAGGCTGGGGCAGGCCTGCTCACTGAACACCGATGCCATGCTCAGCACATCCTCGAAGGAGAACACATTGTTGTGGGAGAACACTTTGCAGATGCGGTCTCTGAAAGGGTTGACCTGTGGGTGGGAGGAAGAGGAGGGAAGGGGTCCATCAGGGTCAGTTTGTGTCTCCCGAGCCTCTCTCATCTGTCCCAAGCACTGTGTCTTGGGTTTGAGGAGACAGCAATAACTGCATCTTAAATATTAGAGTAGACGCTGGCTTGATGAGCCAGGACCCTGGGCATGATGGGGGTAGTGGGGACAGGAGAGATCCTGCTTGATGTCACTCTCTTCTTTACCATCTCCTCTGCATACACACTCCAAAGGTTCAGTTTTTGATTGTGTTATTCTGTTTACAGTTATTAATTTTTACTCCATTGTATGTAGAAAACTTAAGAAAGACAGAAAAGCATAAGGAATAGGGTAAGAATCATCTGTAATTCACTCCTCAGAGTTAGCCATGATCAACATATTGATGCAGAAGTCAGAGAGCCCTGGGCTTGAGGTCTGTCTGGCTTCACCATCTACTAGTGAGTGAGCTTAGTTTAGACAAACTACATAATCTCCCAGAGCCTAAGATTTCTCATCTACAAGATTGGGCAGGATAATTATATCTACCTGATAGGATTGTCTTGAGGATTCAACAAGATAGGCTTAAAGTTGCATGATCATAGCTCACCAGAGCCTTGACTTCCCAGGCTCAGGAGATCCTCAGCCTCCCTAGCAACTGGGACTACAGGTGTGCACCACCACGTCTGGCTAATTTTTTGATTTTTTTAAGCAGATGAAGTCTCGTTATGTTGCCTAGGCTGGTCTCAAACTCCTGGGCTTAAGCAATTCTTCCATCTTGGCCTCCAAAATTGCTGAGATTACAAGCATGAGTCACTGTGCCTGACCTCAATTTTCATTTTTAAACAAAACTATTTCTCAAATTAGGTCCCCAAATGGGCAAGAGTCACGTGATTTTCAACACCCTGGTTCCCCTACCCTGGGCCTGGCCAGCACCACATGAGGCACAGGAGTCCCTCTGCATTGGCCCTCATGGTCCTGGGCTTTTGGCACTCCAACAGCTTCCCTTCCAGCCCAGGTGCAGCTTGCTGGTTCTGTCTTGCTGCTCTCCCTCCAGACCCCAGGAATAAGCAGGTGGAGTGAGCTTTGGGGTGCAGGGGGTGGGCATATCTCATGAGGTTCAGTGGGGAACTGTACAGAACTAACTTGGCAATCTTTAAAAGTAGCAAGTTCGACGAGGCTCGGTGGCTCAGCCTGTAATCCCAACACTTTGGGAGGTCGAAGCCAGTGGATTGCCTGAGTTAGCAGGTTTGAGACAAAATTAAAATCCCAGCAGGTGATTTTGTGGATTTTATCAAACTGATTTTAACGTTTATATGGAGGCTAAGAGAGGTGGCTCACACCTATAATCCCAAGACTTTGGGATGCAGAGGTAAGAGGATTGCCTGAGCCCAAGGGCTCAAGGCCAGTCAGGGTAACTTGGCGAGACTACCTCTCTACAATAAATAAAAAATTAGCCGGTATGGTAGCGCATGCCTGTAGTTCTGGCTACTTGGCAGGCTGAGGTGGAAGGATCACCAGAGCCCAGCAGGTCGATGCAGGGGTGACCATGAGTGTGCCACTGCACTCCAGCCTGGGTGACAGAGTGAGACTACAACTAAAAAAAAAGTAGTAAGTTCATATTTGGCACCCTCCTCCTGCCACTTTCTGGGCCCCCAATTCATTCCCACCTCCTAGGACCTCTTTCCCTCAACTGCTCGGGGGTCTGGCCCTTGCCTGCTCTAGGCCCCAGCCCTTGCCTGCTTTAGGCCCCAGATCCTATCAGAGCCCAACCCTGACACCTTCCTCACCCCAACCAAAGTTCTTTTTCCTTATATGCAACTCAATAAGAAAGCTATCTGATCCCGTAAATTCACATGGCAGACATGAATGGCCAATGGTTCCTCAATCTTCCAAGTATCAAATTTGTTGAAGCAAACCTCAAGTTGATTGTTCTAGTTCCCTTTTTACAGATAAGATATCTTTTCACAGCCCCAGGCTTCATACAAAAGGGTTAGTCCAGTCTTTACAAAAGGACTCTATCCCCATCACCTCTTTCATAGGGATTTGAACCCCAGCCCCAGCCCCTAGGAGTCCATATCCCTGTCTAACTCTTCTTTGGGCTGCTCTTAGCTAACTGGTTCTGATTTCTCCATTTTTGGCCCATGAAAATTTATCTTTCTTTTTAAAACTCAATTACATATGCAAATGTATTGTTTTATTGTATTTGTATTCCTATGTATTTGAGGTGGGAGAGGGAACATTCTATGTCACCTCAGGAGGCCACAGCATTCTCAAACTTTAGTGAGTACATGAGTTACCTGGGGTCCTTGTTAAAAACATAAATTCATGTTTAGCAGGTGGAAAGTTTCAGGTATGCAAGAGCAATGAGCTCTAGAGACCTACTTTGTAACATTGTATCTTTTGTTCACAATACTGTACTGTGCACTAAACACGTGCTAAGAGGGCAGATCTTAGGTTAAGCATTCTTACCACAATTTTTAAAAATGCAAAAAAGTTTACCACACCGTGGTACATGGAATACACTATGTAAAGTCACACACACACACACACACACACACACACACACACACGTGTGCGTGCGTGCACGCACGGCCACACACAAAACTCTAAGCACTTACTCTCAGAAATCCTGTTTTAGAAGGTCTGGTGCAGTGTTATAGTGTCTCCCCAAAATTCATATGTTAAGTCATAATCCCTAGTAACTCAGAACTTGACCTTATTTGGAAATAGAGTTGTTGTAGATGTAATTAGCTAGATTTAAGGTGAAGTCATATGGAGTAGGCAAGCCCCTAGTCTACTGTGACTGGTGTCCCTGTAAAAAGGTAACTTTAGACACAGACACATTCACAGAAAGCACCATGTGAAGATAAAAGCAGAGATCAGGGTGGCACATCTACAAGTCAAGGAACACCAAAGATTGCCAGAAAACCACCAGAAGCTAGGAGAGAGACCTGGAACATATTCTCTCTCACAGCTCTCAGAAGGAATCAATTCTGCCCATACCTTGATCACTGACTTCTACCCATCAGAAACATGATGCTGTTGAAGGCACTTTGTGCTACTTTGTTATGGCCACTTTGGCAAACTAACACACCATGAAATCTGCACTGAAAATAAGATCTTCAAGTGACAGGGTTTATTAAATATATTAATATATATTTTATTGTTATGAATATACTATTATTAGTATATAATTATATATTGTTATATATTATTATAAATGTATATTCCTATACGTATAATAATATGCTATATATTTATCTGTTAATTTACTATATTACTATATCATATTATATATGATATATAATATTCTTTATATATAATTATTTTTACATGTAATGATAGTCTCTCATATATATGTTCCAGGAGTGTCCCAGGAGAATCCAAGCTGCCCTTCCAGAACCTCCAAACAAGCATCTGCTCTGTTTGGTTCCTGCATTGTTTCACCTGAACATGCACAGAAATGCTTGTTGACTGCTTCACATTAATACAGACAATGGTTATCTATGTGTTCCAGGGCACACATATCTAGCTAAGTGTCTTTACAGATTATATTACCAAATTTTAACTACATTAACTCTTACGAATGGATATGTGTTGGGATCAGGGAGGGCCGTGGACCCCGAGACCACTAGGATGCATTTGGGAGCTGTTGACCCAAGGAACTCTGCTGACCTAAGCTGAAGGCTCTGTGACTGTGACAGGCATGGCTAACTCTAGAAACTCATTGTTCCTGTTTCCCATGAACTGAGGTTTCGGCTTAAGTATTAGATATAATTCAAGCTCAGGTCACATTTGGGAGCCTTCTATACGGTACAAGCTTCTTTATAAGATTTAAAAGTATATTTGTAGAATTAGTATATACATATGGAGAGCTGTTTTCAGCTTTAGATGGTATAGATGATTATCTAGAGTTACCAGAAATGGCCCAGCACAAACTTTGGACTGGGGCACATTCCTAAGGGCCCAGCATGTACTTTGGACTGGGCTGCATTCTTTTAAATCGGTTTTAGCTACAGTTAGTGTAGGGTTTTTCTACTTATTATAGAAATTGAATTTATTTTACTCATAGAAAATATTGTAGAATAGGTCATGCTAACGTCAGGGAATTATGTCAGTTCAAGCATGATCAAACATGATATTTTGAGGTTTAATAAGAATACAGTTAACTTTAGAAATTTCATTGTCCCCATTTTCTACTACTGTGGTTTTGGCCTTAGTACAATTTACAGTTTATATTTGGGTTTTATTTTTAGAAGCTTTATTGCTGATGATCAGCTTTATATATTAGGATTAGGAATTGGAAACTTTTATAGAAATTAAGATAGATATATAGGATTTTAGAATAGCCATTTTGTTAAGAGATTGTAATCAATTGTTCCTAGAAATGGCCCAGCATGATCTTTGGACTGGGCCACATTCTTTAGGAACTGGTTTGAGCTATAATTAAGAGTTTCTATAGTGTAGGTAGAATTAGCACAGAATAGAACGGTATTAGGATTTAAGTTAGTCATTAGGTGTTGTGTATGCATAAACTTTAGAAGTTATTGATTATTAGAATATTATGATGTTAGAATTATTGTATTGCTTTTGAGGAACATTAACCAAGCATAAGGAACAGTGAGATAATTTTGGGATTGTCCTTCCTCATGCTTGGGAAAACGCCTGGTGGGTGTGGGACACCCCTCATCCACCTGACTTTGTGTTCATGTAAAAGTCTTGTGATTTAATTGGGATTGTCCTTCCTCATGCTTGAGGAAACACCTGGTGAGTGGGGGATGCCCCTCATCGACCTGGCTTTGTGTTCACGTGAAAGTCTTGTGATCTAACCCGTGAAAATTTAAGATAAAAAGCTTACGATTTGTCCCATTAAACGGCTTCTGCACTAAACAGAGTCCAGTCTCTTTCTTTCTCCCCCCTTTCTTTCTTTCTCTTTATATATATCCCTCCATCTTTCTTTCTTTTAATATCTTTCCCTCCAGTTTAATCGCTGACGCCATCTTTCC